CCGATAGCTTATCTTCCTTTTTACGATAACTTATCATCATTTCCTCGATAGCCTATTGCCTATTTGGCGACAGTTTATTACCAAAACTTTGATAGTTTATCACCTAACTTTTCGATAACCTATCGCTAGTTGATAACCTATCAACTAATTAATCACCATTAAACACTAATCACCTAATTAACTTAATATAAACTAAGCATAATCAAGTTTAACATACTAATTGAGGGATTAGAGCGTTAACTCACTCGTTAACGATTTCGATGACACGGGCACGACGGCGGCGGCGAAGGCTATGCATGACTCGGTCCGGAAATGACACGAGGTGGCGATGATGGCATGGACAGCAGCTCAACAGATTCTGTGGGTTGGTTTGACTTGCGGTGAAGGCGGACCGGTGAGGGAGGCGGCTCGGACGGATGGCGCACGACAACGGGCGGTTACGGCGCTCGGCGGGTGGTGGCGAGTGGCTCCACGGCGGCAAAACAGCAGCTAGGGGGGCGGTGTTGCTCAGCTCGGTCGAAGGAGAGAAGAGGAGGGAGAGAGGGGGCAGAAATGAGAGAGAGAGAGAGAGAAGGAGAGAGAGAGAGAGAGAGAGAGAGAGAGAGAGAGAGAGAGAGAGAGAGAGAGAGAGAGAGAGAGAGAGAGAGAGAGAGAGAGAGAGAGAGAGAGAGAGAGAGATATTTCTCTCTTCTCCGAAGTCTTCACTTATTATAGTAGCTCCCCCAAAGTCTTCACTCATTAATGCCTAGCCTTCCTTTGTCTCTTTGTTCAATAATGCAAGAAGGGTATTTTGGTCATTTCACATTTTTGGCACAAATTTCCCATTTTGCCCTTGGGCCAAAGTCAAGAGATGGGCCTTGGAATGGGTCCAATTGAATACAAATGGGCTTGAAAAGTTCGCGAGCTCAAATTGGGCTTAAATTTGCTATTGGGCTTTGAAAATGGTAAAGTGAGTTTAGTGGGCCTCATTGGGCCCACTTGAACTTGTTTGGGCCCAAGTGGCCGAAGCACACATTGGGCGTGAGGCCCAATGGGCCTTCGCTCGGCCCACTTCCTCTTGGGCTCCAGTTCTCGGCCCAAAATTTCCTTTTCCGAGGATTTCGAGTAAACCGATAAATCAAAATATTAACGAGGCGATGTCCAATAGGTTAGTCTTGAAATCCTTGAAAGTTCGATACCCAAATTCAGATTCTAATTCATGGTTAAAATCGATCAATTGCAACTTTAATATATCTCAAACTAACGGGCAGCTTTTAGGAGTTACGCGTATACGACCCATGGTTTGATTTTGTTATCAAACTACGTTTAAGCTTTTTCGGGTCATGGGTGACCTCGGTTGTCATTTACTTGCAAGGGGTCAATCGCTAGTTCCGAAGTACACGATCATTAGGAATTGGTTTAGGGTTATTCGCAGTCCATACAATGGTCAGGCGGAATCATTCGCGATCTGATTGTATATTGGCGAATCATTTTGTAACCGTTCCTTGATCGGTCTATAATGGCTCAAAATTGTTCCTTGTCAATCCTTATGGTCGAGTTCTCAGGTCATGCGTACTTAATTCCTTAACAGTTTTTCCCTATTGGTTAGTCCTCTCATGAGTGATCAATTCAAAGCGAGATTTAACTTAACAGTGCATCGATGAAATAATCATTTCATATATCTCGAAAAGGGTCGAATTTCAGGATATTACCACCTGAGCCTTGCCAGAGTTCATTTTCACGGCCAAGGGTCGTCCAAGTTAGTCGTTTCTAGTCCCCTTGTTGTTTTGATTGTTAGAATGATTAGGTAGTTTAGAATTAGTTGAAAATGTTAGAAAATCCTAATTAGAACAGTTTCTGGATAGGGTTTTTAGGCTTAGAAATTGCCGGCTGGCGATGGTCCAGCTGCAGTCTGATGGGGTTAGGTTGATAGTGGGAACTTGGTAGATGGCCTAGGACCTATGGTGGTGGTTGGAGCACCAACGAAGGGTCGTCGGAGATTAGCCTAAAGTTACGGTCATGAGATTGCATAATAAACCTAAAGCACATCAAGTATTTGACAAAATGCCCAAATGAGAAATGCCTAAAACGGCCTCGTTTTGGCATTGTCCCTGCTGGAGTGCTGGCCGGAGACCGATCAGGCCGGTCCAACGTAGTTGAATTGGTTCGGTTCGATCCCAAGAATAAAAAAATTAATAAAAAATAAAAAAATCATAAAAAAGTCATAAAAAATAAAAAAATAAAAAAATTCAGAAAATTAGAAAATCATAATTTTTTTTAGAAATTTCCGGAAAATTCATGAAAATTTCAAAAATTAAAAAAATTCCTACAAAATTAAAAAAATTTCAGAAAATCCAGAAAAACTTCAAAATTCCATAAAATCCCTAAAAAATTGCAAAATTCCAGAAAATTCATAAAAATTTAAAAATTTGCAGAAAATCCAGAAAATTGCAAAATTCCAGAAAATTCATAAAAATTTGAAAATTTCCAGAAAATTCAAAAAAAATTGAAAAAATTCAGAAAATTCATAAAAAATGTAAAATTTGGAAAATTCATAAAAAATCGAAAAAAAAATCTAGAAAATTTTGAAATTTAAAAAAAAAATTAGATTTTTGGGAATTAAAAAAATTGCAAAATTCCAGAAAATTCATAAAAATTTAAAAATTTCCAGAAAATCCAGAAAATTGCAAAATTCCAGAAAATTCATAAAAATTTGAAAATTTCCAGAAAATTCAAAAAAAATTGAAAAAATTCAGAAAATTCATAAAAAATGTAAAATTTGGAAAATTCATAAAAAATCGAAAAAAAAATCTAGAAAATTTTGAAATTTTAAAAAAATTTAGATTTTTGGGAATTAAAAAAAAATACGAAATTCCAAAAAGTTGCAGTATGGTTCAAAACACTTGTGGCCAACCCCTTAGAGTGAAATTAAAATTTTTGGAGTTGTTCTTTTGAAAACTACTTAGTTTAGGAATAAAAGGGGCCTAACCCCTAAAAAAACCTAAAAAGGACTTAACCCCAAAAAAAGGGGTCTAACCCCTAAAAAACCCTAAAACCCCCAAAAACAACACAACCCTTAAAAATGAACAAGCCTTAGGGCTTTACTAGGCTTTGATTGTTTTTTTTTTTCTCTTTGAATGATTTTCCTTTTTAGGAACGATATTAGGATGCTATTTGTGATTTGAATTGATTGTCCATTCCATTGTTGATTGATTCCTCCTCGTTTAGAATGGCTAGGATTAGCGGATAGGCCTCGAGAAATCGCATGACATGTTAGATATTTCAAATCGAGTTAGGTATCGAAAGGGCGTTAGGGATTTCGATATCAAGGTTGTTAATGTAACCAAGTCCCCCTACCCATGAAATCTCTGGTTCACAAAAATCGAAATGGTTCTCCCCTGTCTCGATTAGATTTCTAGTCAACCATTAAGGACTAGTGGTGACTCCAAAACGAAACATAAGCTAAATATAAAATAAACAACAAATACCCGCTGTCTCGTGAGGTATGGTCAGGAAGAGATCCTCGTTCATTAGTGATATGACATCCCACCATTCGCGATGAATGAAAGTATCTCCTAGTGCGCAAGGGCGTGGTGCGATAGTTCTTCCGATTCTTTTCTTTTTATTATTATATGCTTCTACTGAGGATTATTTGCTTGGGTTATTTTTTTGGAATCGGCGTGCGATTCCCAACACTAAGTATCATCATTCACGTTCACTCAAGCTCCATGACTCAATCAGACTTCTTGGCCAATTTGTGAAAGAGAGCTTTGATGCTGATTGACAAGTTCCAACAATGATGCTTATATAGCAAAATGAGCGAGATCGTGAACCTTATAAAGGAAATTATTTCATTTCCCCTCTAATTCTCCACTGCCATACGACTCTTAATTCACAGTTTGGTAAAGGCATGGGGGGACAAATTGCTACTACGACCGGAGAAGTTACACCACAAGAATATCGATAGAGATCAAATTATGTGACACTGGTTTTTCATGTCCCTTAGTTTTACAACTAACACATTCAGACCAAGATAATACTAGTTTTTTTTTTGTTGATAAGATAATACTAGTTGGACCTTATTGATTTCAGCGGGTTTGTGAATCCCCATGGTATGGTCATATTTATGGCGATGTTTGGCATCATTTCATTTGATTATAAAATATTTCAATACGATTATAAAGTGGGGTGTTGTGTATGGGCCATGTCGACTGCTAGTGATATCTCAAAGACTCAAAGTTCAGCATTTGGTTTCATCTTCAAGCTCAATTTCTTCATTAATTTCCTCTTAAAGCCGACTTCATCGATTAACATAAGCAAAAATTTCACATAGGACCTTGAATTGGGATCTTTCATTCAAAAAAAATTCTTAGAGTAGACATTGTCTCAAATAAGACTAAAGAATGGGCAACTTAAAGCTCAAAGACTCCTAGCCAAAAAAAAAAAAAACTCAAAGACTTTGACCAAAAAAAAAAAAGCTCAAAGAAGAAGGAGAAAAGAGAGAGGAGGAAAGTATGGCTGGGCTTTTTATTTCGTTTCGTGGACTTTGGGCTTTTGGGCCTCAATTGACCTTATTTCTATTGGGCTTGACTAAAGCTTCTGGGCCGAGGGGCTCATTATTTCTTATCCTCCCTTTATTTATCTATCTGTTTATTTTTATTATATATTTTTTGTTCTATTTTACTATTGTTTATTTTTTTTTAGTAAAACATATGCTTGATTTGCCAACTAAATTTAAGTGACAACAAATATCAGGCTGCAAATAAGCGTTCGCTTATTTAGTTATTGACATGTATTTGTATACAGTCAAAGTCTAAAAATGATCGATCAAGAATCTAGTCTCACTTTAACCATCTTACGCCGTGTGATATAAAATATAATTAAATAAAAAAAAACAAAAGTTTCTAGTTATATTGTATACCAAGAGAAAGGGAATCTAGCTACCACATGTTTGAGCTTCATCTAATAGATGTCTCCATCTTTGCCATAACCCCAACGACTCTCCCTCCCTCCCACGCACAATGGCTGAAGAAACACGGTCAAGATGGGAAGGAAAGGCCAGTGCTGAGCTGAAAGGGCCAACCCCAGACCAAGTGTGGCCATTCTTGGAGGATTTTTGCAATCTCCACAAGTTGCTTCCCCTTGTCGACACTTGCCACCGAGTCGAGGGCATCCCGGCCCAGCTTGGCCTTGTCCGGTACTGCACCTCCACCACGTTCGGCAACGATTCCGACCTGTTGAAGCTCAAGTGGGCCAACGAGAGGCTCCTCATGATGGATCCCAGCGAGAAGTGCTTCAGCTATGAGGTGTTGGACAACAATGATGGGTTCAAGAATTATGTTGCAACAATTAGAGTGATGCCCATGAAAGATGGGGATGGTAAGATGGGTGGGTGCATGATTGAGTCGTCAGTCGTGTCTGATCCAGTTGAGGGTTGGGGGCTCCAAGAATTGTGTTCTTACATTGATTTTTTCCTTCAATCAATGGCCAAGAAGATTGAAAGTGCAATTCAAGAAGCTAGTGGGTGAAGGGAGAAAGATGTCATCTCTCTTCTTGATTGATTATGTATGCTTTAAATAATTTCTTATAGTTGTGCTTTGCATTTTTTTGGAGATCTAATCTCAACATGAATTACCGTTTTCTTTGCTTTATCCTTCTTTCTGAATTTTGATTTGAGAATTATTGATTATATTTTTTCATTAATTATGGGACTTGGCTAGCATAACAACACCATTAAGGCAACTAGTAACGGTGCAAGCAGGACCGCAAATTCTACTCTGTACACGATGGGCCACCGGAGCACATACATAAAAATCTGTAGGTGGGAAATCAAGTGGGGAGGAAATATTGGGTACTTGAGCCCAATCGTCGGTTGCCACGTGTACACAATTGGCCTCACGTTTGGAGGTCTCCTCACCACATAAAAGGAGCCGAAGCTCCGAACAAGGGCTTTTGCGGCCTGTCCTCTTCAGTTGGGCTGGGCTCCACGAATACATACATTATTTTAACGTGTTGAGACTCGCACGCTTTGTCCCCCCATTTTCCCCTTGTATCTATGCCTTCCCCAATAAGAAAAAATATCCTCCAATGTTGTATTTGGTAGCTAGGATAAATCCTATCTTGTGTTTAGTTCATGCTCAAGACAAGATAAAGTCGGATATAAGGGGGATATAGCCTGGATAAAATTATCCTAGGGGGGAGGTAGGATAAAGGTGGATAGGATTTTTTATGATTATGGTATAAAAGCTATTTTTTCGAAACAAAATTTTTAAATAATAAAAATAAATTAATATTTAAATATAAAAAAATATTTTAGTTATAATATTGAAAAGATAATTTAGAATAACAAAAAAATAATTTTCGTTTTTATATATTCCTATATTATTTATATAATTGAATTTTTTTCTACTTTATAATAATATAATTAATATCTATATTATTACATATTTTAGGTATAATAGTATAGTTTATAAATCGATAAAATTTTTAGAAAGGACTGATGGAAGGGAATAAAAAAATAAAAAAAAGAGATGGAAAAATACAAAAAAAATGAGTAAGTAAAAATGAGGTTGAATAACCTAGATTTTAAGAAACAAATTCAAATTTGAAAAGAATCTTTCTAATTCTCGAAACTCCTCTATAATTGGGTTCATGTCGAAGTTTCACAAAAGTAGCGAAGGAGTCCAAATACTATACTTTTCGTAATCACAAAAGTGAATGGTCATAGTTTTATTCTCTTACTAGATTTGGCAGTGAATTATGAGAGATTTTTACAATATTCGTTTGTGCATTTTTAGATTCATTTATATTGATATGTCGCAAAATAACAAACAATGGACGTGATAAAATATGAAAATATCCGGATTTATTTCTGCAATTCACCAAACATTGGATATAATATGACAAAATCTTTGGATTTCATATCTTATCCTATCCAATCCTATCCTGACTAGAATTCCAGATGACTAAACACAGCCCAAGTGTTTTAAGTCTAGGAAATGCCAAGATTCACACGAGACCCTAAATGAAGCCTTTTAACATCTTACTTAAGACGTCTTTTAACTTTTGCTCTGTATGAGAAAATATTGGCGCCCTAATAGTGTAACGTAGGCCATGCGCTAGTCCATTCAGCAACAAATTCGATTTGTACTACATAATTAGAACTTGTTGGAGGACTAACGGAGAATGGGGTTAGAATTTATGGCGGCAACGTGTGAAATTTTTCATAAAGTTCTTGAAGAGATAGGTCCAGCAATGTGACGCGGCTCTCGACTCTTGCACATCTTCCAAAACTTTCAAACATATATATCTCTCTCATCTTTATCTTCCCTCAACCAGACCGTAGAACCCCGCTTCTCCTTTGTTTTAAATTTCACAGGAAGCCACGCGTATAGCCACTCGTCTGAGGATTTGGGAGGCTCGTCGGAGCAATGGTCACATTCCCGACTTTCTTGGCCCGGTCTTAGTCAACCCAGGGTTGGATTGTGTCGCAGCTCTCATGCTGCAACTCCTTGAACGAGCCAGTGGCTTTCTCATAATAAAAAAGGCCGTCCTCGATGCAACAGACCTCGAGCTATTCATGTCCATCCCAACCTGGTTTTCGTTAATGTCCCTTATGAACGTGAGCTGCTAGACCTCAACGAACTGGACGGCAAACACGTGGTTTGATGAATCTCCATTGTTTCCGCATTGAAGAAACTCTTGTAGTCGTCGTAAGAGGCTGTCGAGAAGTCGGGGACAGTGGCTATCACGAGTTTTCCATCTACTTTTGCTTTTCTTTCTTTAGTTCTTGTCGAGCTATTCAAGTTAGGGAAAATAAATATGATTTTTCTTTCTTTTAGTAAATTCTGAGATCATATCAAGTCCATTAGAATTAGATTTCTGAGTTGAGAAATCAAGAAGGAAAGAAGCTCCGTGGATTCTTCTTGATTTCCCAAGCAAATCGGACAAACAATTGGTCAGGTCTCCTTGGAAGAATATGTGGTGGCAGAGTGCACGTCACTCTTCCAAGAACAATGCTGCAGTCAGCTTTTAATCCCCTAATTATGGAAGGCTTATTCCCTGTGAAGTTTCCATAAGTTGATATGATTCTTTCTATAATCCATTAATTGGGTGAATAGGTATAGAGGTGGCTGGTCCTTCCTTTTCGTAAAATCTTATGCTAACCTGATGAAGCGATTTTGATCCCATGTTTTCACCATAGGCATTGACTTTCACAGACCTTAGCAGCTGAGCTGCCTTTTGCTCCTTCATAAGCCAACCTATTTATCAACAATTAAATCAAGTTTAATTGTTAACCATCTCAAGTTGCTCCAATTCTCATAATTATTTTGTTAGATGTGTGTACTTTACTAAATATTGTAAAATTCGATCTTATAATTCAAATCTAATGCTAGAAGAAAAATTATCAGAGAAATGAAAAAGAAGGACACCGTAAACTCATGTGATTCGGTCCGTGTATCTATACCTAATAGTGGAGAGAGCTAGTTACAAAAAAATCCACTATGAATTCGGAGAATTATAGAGTTACAATTACTTAAGTGTTTTTACTTACTCACAGTTTCTTATTTTTCATAATGTATAACAAATGAGCAGTGTTCTTTTTTTTAATATCTTCTCATTTGACTTTTGACTCGCACTGGGAAACCTTGATTTTATTCATTTTTGTCTTTAATTTTTATAATGATTTTGCTTGAAGATAAAGTCCCACTTAGAACACATCCAAGTTTCTAAAGGGTCATGTTTCATAGACAGGCTCAAAATTGAGATATAATTTAATACTAGATATGGTGCTTAAATTTACTTAAGAAAAGAAGAAAAAAGTTAACATAGATTCTCATATAGATAATTGATAAGTCCATTACCAGTTAACAAAATTTGCATACACTCACCATTGGACTATGGGTATCTGTAGTTGAAGAAATCAAATTCTTCCACATGCCAATAATCTAACAATGAATGGGTAAATAATTCTTACACCGACAATGGACCCGATAAAAAAAAATCAAATGCTCATAGGAAAGGCCCATTAAAGTGTGATATATATATATATATATATAATATTATATCATTGTTTCATTTGTTTTATTTTTCCAAAAGATTCGTAAGTCCATGCGCCATATATGTTATTTTGAGTTTAGTTTGGAATTAAGCGTCTCTTTACTTGCATATGCTTGAATTAACCACAGGTATTTAATTGTTCTTCTCTAATTCAATCAACTTTCATTATTTTACTAGCTAGTTTTCGAGCTGCCAAAGAGTTTTTCTTTTTTTTTGGTCGGAAAGCTACCAAAGAGTTGAAGAGGTAAAAAAAACATACAAGATCTTTTGATAGATAACTAAGATGATCTATAGTGAGAAGGATGGGATAGAATTGACAATGGTGCGTTAGAGGCCACTCGTCATGGACAAAAATGAGAAATAAAATCTGACATTGGGGCAAACAAAATTTGATATGGAAGCAAGCTCAATGATGCAATTTCATACGTTAATGCTCTGGTCCACCAAAGAAACGTGATCCTTGCTTTGCTAGTATTCCAAAAGAAAAAAAGTATCGACAGTCCCCAAACTGTTGCAAATTTTTCATTCAACTCCTCAACTTTTTTTATGCAAATAGATCTCTATAGTACTTTTTTTTTCAAGTTGGTCCTGCTGATGAATAAAGAAATGGAAATACGGATATGGCCGTTAAGTCACTGGTAAATGCCAACGTGCATCTTGCTTGACTTTAAAAAATTTGAAAGAAAATTAAAAAATAAGAAAAATTAAGGTATAAAGTATTGATATTTAAAAATAAGGAATTTGAAGGAAAAAAAACGGGAACAAAGAAGTCTGCTGGGTTCGCAACTAAGAGAGACATACGGAGATGATGGCAACGTGAATTAGGGGAAAAGGGGAAGTGAATTGGCTCGGATGCGACACACTATCACGGTCGTGCAATACCCGGCAAAAACCTTGTTGGGGTCGTGTGATCCATGTGACCTCGGCAACTGCTCACTATGGTATGCCTGACCGCCACCGTCGTCTTGTGGGGCTTGTGTGACCCCAGGACACCGATCAGTCGTTGCTAGTTTTTTTGTCTCTGTGTCTCTCCCTCTTTTTATGTGCGTGTGTGCTTGACCGAAGGTGGCAGCGGCCATAAGGTGGTCTCGCTTAAGGCTAGCGGGCATTTTATGGCCGTCGTGCGTCTTGGTGACGCCGCAGCCGCCGCTGCGCGCCTCAACCCTCCTTTGCTGCGCATGTGCGTAAATGTGGGTTAAGGTTAGGCTTTTTCAATCTTTTTAATTTTCCTTTTTTTTATACATGTCAGCGCACCCTAATTATTCTTAGTCTAATCACTGGTGCTGATGTGACATTCTACCCCATAATTCTGTTTGCATATATGATAAGATGCTACCACCTATGCTACCTCCTCTTCCTCTCAAGACATATTTTCGGAAAAATAGAAAGAAGCAAGATGAAGTGGCGTTAAAGGAGATAGTGGCTGAATAAGTCAAGCCATGTATGGGAGAAGTTAGAGAAAATCTTGAGAAATCAGCCCCACTTTCCCAGAGTGCTTCGTAGGTTTTAGTAGTGGG